TCTTTACCAATCTTTCTAGCTGCGGCATGAAGCGATTTATTCATGGGGGACAAGTGATCCACAATGAATATTGGAGATTTTTCACCGTTGAATCCCAGATGCGAGCTATTAAGCTTATCCTGCATTGCCTTTTTTCGGTTGAAATTTATGGATGCTGCTAAAAACTCATCACGAATCTTTTTATTGGCGAATTGGGCTACAATTGATTTAGTTCGCGTACTATTAGGGTTGATCTTGGCGATACGTGTACAGTTGATAACATCTTCGTTTTTAACATTACACTTAAGTACAGTACCTAGTTGGGTCACTACTTGCATTAAGTTTTCATTTTTTTTCTCAGGAATGCACTGTATTTCTACATTCATAGCTCGTGCGTTCTGTTCAAGGGTATTAATTCGCGCCGTGAGGTCCTTAACATTGGTCTTTAGAGCACTGTTTTCTTTTTGGAAATCAACCATCGCCTGTTTAGTTTCTTTGTGGTCTTTGATCAACAATTCATATTTGGAATTCATGAAATCCATAGAGCTCCTAATTTCCAGCACCTCCTCCTTAACTGATTTTATTTCAGAACTAATGAAAATAGTTAGGGAATCGATTTTAGATGTAATGCTCTTACAATACTCCTGCATGATACCTCTAACTTCATCAGCCGACGCTCCTATTATTGGAGGTGACTGCAGTGCCTGTCTTTTAGAAGCCCGTACCGTGACATTAGGGTTAAATCGCACCGGCGTGTTGTCGTTATGCCCAGTTTTGGGTCGTAGGCTGGTACATAGAGGACATTCCCATGTCGAAAGCTCACTTGGCTTTATTACGGAGGGAGAGCTGAGACAGGCCACATGAAAGTTTTTTGAGCATTTCTGGCACTTAATGTACTCTTCTGTGTCAGGGTTATCACCACAGCATCCCCAATCATTGTTGTCGGTAGACATTATACTATTGTTTATCACTGAGGTTTGCAACAAAATACACTTTACTGCAAAGTTGCTGAATGCAAATTGGTAGGCGTTAATCGTACTTATACTATAATTTTACTTTTCTAATAATACATTTTATATAATGTCCGATACCACCAACAAGGTCAATTAAAAGAATTGAAAATTTTTTCTATCTATTAGTCAGTTAAAAAAAAAAACAATAACCCGAGAAGACGCATACTCGTTGTTGTTGTTTACATAAATTGTTTACTTGTGTACAAAAATCACCGACACTTTATAATTACCCGCAGATTTAGTAATGTTGAGATAGTTTTAACAAGATTACTTCACGATACTAGAACTGTTATGCAAGATTTTTCACAATAAAATAGGTTATAAGTTCACTCACAAAACGATGTCTGCCACACATCAAATATTAACGACTTATAGGCGAAGCTAAATAGATACGTGTTTACTAAGCAACTACTCAGTACGTTGTGAATACTGTTTATATTTATCAGATACTGTTTATATTTATATTCCATTAATTTCTCCTCGGTTTTTTGAGTTACAACTCATTCGAAGTACGGCATGCGTATCAACAAGCTATCATGGCGTGTAAAATAATTCGCGGAATGATAGACGCTCTAGACCTGAGTGCCGAACTGTGTCGATTTTTTGTACCAAATAACTACTGTCTTAATCGCAAGCATAATTTTTTCCGTACCACGAGCACACACCGTCGCGTGCGCCAACTAGCCTGTTCCCTGTGTCCCCACCTCAATACTTTCCTGGACTGGAATGGACGTCAATATTGAACGCCTGAAGTTTTGTGAGCGATAAAAATGAATATGTTATCTTTAATTGATGAAATTGGTTCAACCATAACAATTAAAGTAAAAATAAATCAATATACTTTATTAATATTGACCCGATACGCAGTTTAACTCGCTACATTTTGAGGCCTTACAGTGGTATACTTAGGTTTGTAATTAATTGTCCTTCCATGTTCATATTCGGGTCTTTTTAATTACAATAAAATTTTAATAAAAACATTTTGGAGTTTAATATTTTTGTTGGCAATGATATTTGCAGTCTGTATAAATACATAAGTATTATTACAGACTGCAAATATCACGGGTGACGCTGCTTTAGCATAATATGATATTATGTTTGTGTACGAAATGGTCCGTGGGCGGTTAACTCGATTACTGTAACGAAGTCAAGAGACTCGAAGCTAGTTGTCGTGTAATACATGCTTGATGTGAGCGGGGCAAAAAGATGATTATTATTACAGATAACTACTTAACCGTGGAGAATAGCTCTTTTTTTAAATTGAAGTTGAGAACTGAACTTAAAATCCACCTAATAGTAAATGTCTTTTGCAGTCTATGGATACTTGCAGTGAACTGCAAACAATGAAGGCTATAGTAGCATTTTCACATCTAAGAATTAAGATGGAATGCCTTAGAACCTGTAATAATACTAGCTCTCTATATTCCGCTACTGCGTACTGCTTGGCGGCAGGTAGTAATAGATAAGAGGTTGGTACCTACCCAGACGGACTCCTAGAGAGAACCGAATTCCAGTTATCTGGTAACCACATAGTAATAATTACAATGGTCAACTTGACTTGAATTTTAACAGCATTTCTTTGTTTACCCCTTAAACAATGTGGATATTCCGATCCTCTTAAAATATTTACGTGAAAAAAAAAAGTCTAAATTAGTATGACGACTTTATTCGTTTTTGTTTTGTTTGAAAAATTCGACTAAAATGGACACGACTCGGTAGAGACAAAAATTCTATCGTTTTAATGGATTGCCATTGCACAAGAGCTCTACAACCAATCCACGTATTGTCGCCAATTCTATTATACGGTTGTAGTAACCCAAATTGGGAAGCATTATAAAGGATATATAAGTATTTTTTTCTATACATAAGGTTTTCTGTGTAACATTTTTTTTTTACTTATTATAAGCCAGTGCTTGACTAGTGTGTCTCTTAAATCCCAAGTGGCTGTAATTAGTGATGAAGCCCTAAATAGTAAATCACACTGTATTAGCGTAACAAACGTCTATTCACTCTTTTCTTGAAACGCTCTGATTTTTTTTATAGGAGAGGGGGTAAACGAGCATGCGGTTCGACAACCGCAACACCAGGGAACCAGGGGAATTGCAGATGCGTTGCCGGCCTTTTAAAAAGGAGTAGGCTCTTTTCTTGAAGGTCGCTAAGTCGTATCGGTCCGGAAAAGTCGCTGGTGGTAAACTATTCCACAAGGATGTGTGCGAGAAAGAAAACATCTTCTCAAATCAAATCGCACAGTGGTGGACCGTCAATCATCCAGATGGTATGGATGGTATCGGGAGTTCTGCCGCGATGTGCGTTCGTGAAATTTGGCAGCTGGAATTAATCAGAACAATTCCTCAGAGAACTCTCCGCGAAAGAATATGCAAAGAGATGCAACATCTCTTTGCAGCGCCAATGAATCGAGCCGATCGGAATGGACTCGGTCGTCGACGATTTGAGCCGCTCTGGGCTAGATTCGGTCAAGTGGAAGGAGCTGGCACTGGGGAGCCCCAGCCCAGAGATGGGAACAGTATTCCATGTGAGGCCGAACTTGCGCCTTGTAAAGTTGCAGGCGTTGTGCCGGCATGAAATACTGTCCCGCTCTGCTGAGCACGCTTAGTTTTTTAGAGGCCAATTTGGCCTTCTCTTCCAAGTGACCACGAAACTGCACGTCACTCGATATGTCGACGCCGAAGATTCCAATACTGATTATTATCATACAACACGAACGAAATACAAACAACAAATTAGACCGTTTGATGTATGTTCTATTAAAGTTACCGAATATGCCGTCTTTCTACAGCCAACTGATCGTTACGAAACCAGTACCTTTATTAACCACCTAAATAACGATAGTGCACTGGGTATCGACCTGCACCCCAATGTTGATTAAATATATAAAACACGCAGTTCTTCAACCACTTCACATATTTAATCTTAGTTTGTCAAGTGGCATTTTCCCTAATTGTTTGAAATTAGCAGTTGCATCTCCAATAAACAAAAATATGATAAAAACTGTCATAGCAATTAGAGGCCAATATCTTTGCTAAGTGTATTTTCCAAGTTACTGGAAAAAATTGTAAGCAAACGCCTTACCAACTATATAGAAAGTAATAATCTGCTATTTCTAAATCAGTTTGGCCTAAAGAGGGGTAAGTCCACTGAGGATGCGGTAGTTCTACTGATAGATGCTGTGTCTAGGTATTTGGATAATAAACGCAGCTGTGCAGGTATTTTTTGCACGTTTCTAGGGCCTTCGACACCGTGTTGGTCCCTCTACTGTTACGGAAGTTTGAAGCAAAGGGAATTCGAGGAGTGGGGTTGGTTTGGTTCCGTAGCTATCTTTCAGATCGGCGTCGATGCTTATCGTCGAGTGGGCTCAGATTCAAATTAAACAATTAAAAATCAGTATTGGAGTTCCTCAAGGAAGTATTCTTGATCCAATTCTATTATGCATTTACATTAATGACTTCCTAGAATTACCCATACAAAGAACAGATGTCATCTGCTATGCGGATGATACAGCCATCATATTTAATGATTTAACTTGGAAAAGCGTACTCGAGACCGCTCAAAAAGGCATGTTAGTGTTTAATAAATGGTAAAGTTCTAATTTTCTAACTCTAAACTACAAAAAAAAATTAAGTCCATAGCCTTTCACAAAACTTTAAAGTAATAAATACTTGCAAATATAAAATATCCTTTTGCATCTGTAATACAATCAGCAACACAGGTAACATCAGGTATAGAGGAGTGATCATTGATGACAAGCTATCATTTAAAAACCACCTAAGCCACTTAGCGGTAGTGTTAGGAAAACCATTTACATAATGAAATCTTAGCAACGCTATGCTACTAGAGACACAATGAAAATGTTTTACAAAGGACTAACATAATCCCTCCTATACGACTGTACGCTGGCTTGGGGTGGGGCTATCAAAACAAAAATGCTCGAATTCGAGAGGGCTCAGTGAGCAGTACAAAAAGTAATGTTGTCTAAAAACTTTAGATTTCCTACTGACGAACAGTACAGGAAATGTAAGGTGCTATGGGTTCGCCAAACCTACATTTTAAAAGCAGTAATTCTAACCTACCGAAAAATAATGAATTCCCGGGATTATCACAGCCTGTTCCAGCATTGGATCTTTCGAGTACCGATTCCCAATTTACACCGCACCTTTATTAAACGCCACTCATTATTTCTTCTGCCTGACATCTACAACAAATTCTGCTGCCTCTTCCCAGATTTGAGGTCTTTGTCCACAAGCAAAGTCAAGCACAAAATAACAACTTGATTGCTCCATACTTCTTACCAGGAAACGGAAAACTTACTTTCTCTTCCTAGCTGACCCCTACATACGCACGCGTACACTTATACTCACACGCACGCACACACACACATCCCCAGAGTAAACTAGCTGTTTTTTCTCTTTTACCTATTAATTTAAACTTAAAAGAGAAGGAAACGTCTTTATACATTTTCGGGCCAAGATGTAAACAAGATGAAAGTAGGACCATTTGAAAGCGTATGTATAAACAATTCATACCTGCATATCTAGTAGCTGAGTTATTGCAGAATAAGTGAAAGTGATGTATTATTTATACTGTAACAGGAGATTTTTCACTGTACCAGGTGATTATACTGTAGTAGACTATTTTTCACTATACTTAAAAATATAAAAGCAGGATCAGTAAAAAATCACTATAGAAAAGCTGCAGTTGTTGTGGAAATAAAATGGTGAAATGATTAACGAAAGTTAAAACAACAACAACTAAGTGAATTTAATATTAGGCATCTATCTCTATCTCGATCTAAAATGAATTGCTTGAATTGTTATTGTTATTGTTATTTGTTGGCATGTCATGTTATCCACATGCTAACTATAGCCTAATTTTATATTTTGTATTATTATTTTGTAGATATGTTCGCAATTATTTTTTATCTCCCTAACTACGGAGAAAAAAAAAACAAAATAATCGAAAATAGATATTAAAATGCTCAATTTTATCAAGAGAAGATTGCATTCTGCTCATTCTAAATCAAATCGAAAATCAGTCTTCTTCATAATAGTGAATATTTTGAGTCTGAACTTTGAACTCTTCAAGTTTCAAAATGAGAATTCGTTTATTGGTAGTTAGCATTCAAAAACGAACATTTCTCTAGTGTATTCTTTATGGTAATCGATTTATTGCTACAAAATGTTTTTTTTTTCATTAAGTGAATAATATATTTTTTTTAAATAAATATATCATTCGAAGTAAATAAAATAATTTTAATAAAACCTTGCAAGCTTTTACATTTTATTTTTTGGATTCGAATAAATATAAAATTGATTATATAAATACAATTGTTTTTCTAACTTATTTCTTATTTTATTGTTTTTTTGAATTCTAGATTTAAAAAGATGTAGTTTTTTTTTGTATTTTGCTTTAGAAAAATTAAGTTAATTTTTTAAAGTTCCCATTCTCTTTATTCTTTCTTTAAGCATTATTCTAACTTAACCGCAGTCTTATGTATTTATCGGTGTAAACGGTGTTAGTCAATGTTCTTGGTTCCGTATTGTTAATTATGTAATGTCTTTTTGGTTAAATAAATATACCTTCTATTTATATTTTTCCTGGTAATAAAAATAACGGTATATAGTAATAATGATTTATTGTTTTAAAAAAAGTGTATGTGAAGTCATGAGTAATAAAAGCTCAAGTGCTTCCTAGTTGCAATTTTTTGAACACATTGGTAACCCTAGCCCTGCGTTTCTTCGCTTTATTTTCAGCGACTTATTTGTCAAACTTATTTCATTTTGGACTGAATCTTGGGTAGTGTATGGTGGAGATTCTATGCAGTTATACGTGGACAAAAAATAAATTAAATCTGACTGACATTCAGTTTCAATAATTGTATAAGTAGGCGAATGAAAGTCTTGCACAACATTAGAAATTGATGAAGGCTGAGTAAACGTCGGCGATACAGTCATTTCCATGCGAAGTTTCTTGGCTATTGGACGCTAATCAGTTTTATTACCTCTATCGGCATCAACTTAGGTATCAAAGTGACCATTAGAAAGATCTTGGGAAAAACATAGTATTTTGATGGGTGGGTCTTTTGTACCAAATTCGGCATACAGGTTGCCATTTCAATACACTTTTTTTTATTTATTTAAAAGGACAACCAACAAGACGAACACTAATACATGGATATTAAGGTAACATGAATATAAAGCTAAAGCTAAGCATCATCTTAATTATAGGCTGCCACGGCATGCAAATGTGGACTATGCAAATAAAACTTAAATAGGTTAGTTAATACTAAGCAAATGAAAACTTAAACATTTTAATCATCATTTAACAATCATTATTTTTATATGTTTTCCCAAAGACTGAGAGTATCGAAATGGCCCTATAGTTCTTCACGGATGCTGAATCTCCCGACGTAAAAAATGGAACAATTCTCGCCTCCTTCCAGATCGAGGGAAATACGCCATTCATTAAAGACTTATTAAATATTATTGTTACAAACAAAGAGGATATTCCATCTGGGCCTGCTCCTTTAGTCCTATCTAGTCCTTTCAGAGTTTTCAGAACATCCTCCCGTCTAAGGGTGAGACTTCCAAGGAAGCAAGAGACTGAGTATTCTAGATCAGGTACATTGCAGAGAGGCAAGCTTGGTCGGTAAACCGAGGCAAAATAGGAAGCAAAAAGATTACAAATACCAGTTCCACAAGTTTTTTCTTTATCATCGAATGTCATTGCAGATGGATACGCGTTGCTATTGACTTTTTTACTCTTGAGGAAGGTCCAAAAATTTTTTGTATTTACTGATAGGGACTTTTCGAGATCAGTTATATATTTAAGATAACAAGATCCTGTTAAATCAGAGCACCGTTTTTTAATTGTACGGAATGCCAGTTCGTCGAGTGGGTTATTGTTCTTTTTGTATCTCATCCTGAGCCGATACTTCTCAGGTGAAAGGCGAATAAGATCCCTGGTATACCACGGGGGAAACTTTTTTGATGCTGGTTTGCTTTTAGGAACATATTTTAAGATAGAACTTTTAGAAAATTTGTTAGTTATTTCATCCACCGAGGAGCAAGAAGCCAGGTTACTCTCCCATGGAGAGTTGGTTACATCTTTTTTCAAAATCAGCTTTATAGAAGTTATGTCTCTCATTATAATTACGGGAAAGAAGTTTAGCTAAATACCCGGAGGGCAGCGTAAATTCCAGCGGTGGATGATAATCATCTACAGAACTGAGCTCAGAGTTACTTCGTGTCACATTCAACAGAATATTAAGATTAGAGAGAACCAGGTCTAAAATTTTGCCTTTTTGGTTTAGGACCGTAGTACTATATTGAGTAAGATTATTTAAAGCTATGAAGTCCAGTAGCTTACGGGAATAAATATGCTTTGACACAGCCACCAATACCCCGCCACCAGATTTGTGCTGATGAAAGCCGCTAGTCTCGCGGTCTCGTCTAAAAACTGCGTAACGATCACTAAACAACTCGGAGTCAAAAATAGTGCTATTTAACCAAGTATCACATAACACAACTATATTAAAATCGTATTTTAATATGTTTTTGTACAAATTTGTCGTCTTCGTTCGAAGACCCCTAACGTTTTGAAAATATACATCTAAACTGTTGAACTTTAAGCCGTATACTATTATACGATAGATTACAAAATAACAAAAAGAACTTAAGATAAATTTTCCAGGGTCGATTTATTACGTACTAAGACGTATTCAGATATATCAGTTTTCCGCATGTATATGCGGCCGCCCCGGACCCATACATGTTTGTATTGAAGTTCTTTTGCACGTTTACGGGACAGAGCGTGAAGAAGCTTATTCTCAGGTGAAAGATTTTCTACTACATATATGGGAGTATTCCTGTTAGGCCAAATTCAAATATAAATGGTTATTTTTGACCGGCTGCAACTAACTCGCAGAAACCGCCACATGTAATGTGTTGTAACATTTCTAATGTATACTTTTCTTTTGTCCCATGATTGTTGCCATGACAGTTTTGAGACATAATAGCAAATTAATCCCAATTGTTTCTCACATGACGCACAATTTCTTTACAAAAAAAAAATGGTGCTTCCCTAAGTATAAATAACTATATATATTCTTGAGTTTATGGTTTTTTTTTATGTTAGAGAAACTATCATCTAAAAAATGTAAAAATTTTAAATTGGAGAGGTGTTCCTCTACGTAATAAAGTTATAAATGAAGATATTCGCAGTAGAACCAGAGTAACTGACATAGCCCAACGGAATATTACAGTGAAATTGCAATGGGCTGGCTTTGGAAAACAGATAAAAAATAGGAAGAAAGGTTCTCGAGTGGCAACCTCGTACAGGTATTACTAGTATTACGCAAACTTTATTCCTCTTCACGTATTCTCATACGCTTTTCTTCACATACACACACACACACATACACACACACACACACACACACACACACACACACACACACACACACACACACACACACACACACACTCACACACACACACACACACACACGCACGCACGCACGCACGCACGCACGCACACAAATAGGTCGCAAATAATAATTACCTAGTACTATTAGGCAAGAGTGAATAGGTTTTTGTTAACTCAGTGCAATTCCCCATCTTAGGCTACATAACCACTTACCGATGGGATTGTAGTTGCTTTTTTTTGTTTTTTTTTTTTTGTTTTTGGGTCGCAGAATAATCTCTTCAAAATTATTTGTAATATGTATGCATGTAGTGAAATTTTTAGTAGATGGTCAAATTTATTAAAATGGTATTAATAAAATGTAATGATATCATTGATTAACCAATAATTATAATTAAAATTTAAGGTATAGTTTAAAAATTTTAATTTTAATTTTGTAATGGATCTGTGTGGTCTGTATCAAATAAATTATTATTATTATTATTTTGGTCTTTTTGTGGATTGGTGTAATAAATATTGTTTTATATACAAAAGGAACCAAGCTCTCATTAAGAGATAGAATAGTAAAGCATAATGAATCTTTTGGAAAATTCAAAATCCGAAGTGTCTTACAATTCGGTAACACGACGAATTTATATTTCATCAATTCCGCTTTCTGTATTTTTTGTAGTAAAAACTGACTGTGCCCGGCATGCATTGCAATGCTCATGAGGGACAAATAGGGAAATATTACGACGTGGCGACTAGGAACATCTCCCCCCTAGTAGACAATCTATGGGAGAGGCCTATGTTAAACAGAAAATTTTATAGGCTGTAATGGATGGATAATGGATCCATCCGGTTCTGGTATTTATCCGGCATGAATAATAAGGGATATATATATCCTTAAGCTGGATAATAAGAGTCAGCATATAAGATATTTCTCACTTCCTATAGTCATCTCTTAATACACCCACGAGGTGAAATAGGGTGATGTAAATATTTGCGCGGCTACCACATGACACTTATTTTACTAAAGGATAAAAAATAATTAAGTTCATTGTTAAAATGTACAATCTTTTATTGTATTTTTAAAAAACTTTATTCCATGTCAATTTTTTTAGTGTTTTTTAGCCTTAAACAAAAAGTTTCTTTGAATTTTTTTCTCATTATTTTCTCCTCTCTATAGAAATGTTGTGACCACATGTTGATGTCAGCACAACATCAAGCTTCAACTTCATCTTGGTATGATCTCCTTTCACGCGATAATGCCGTAGTACGTGAGCTAGTGTAGTCTTCATCGACATTAAAGCGAATTGTTTTCCTGTGGGGTCACAAAGAAATTTTTCAATCGCTTAATTTTCTTTTGTTATAGTTATTATGAGGTAATGCTTCTTGCAGCTATATGATGTCTGTATTACGATTCGATCGACTCGTCAGGGGATATGCCACGCTCTCAATTATTGTGAAAAAAGACAAAGCAAAATAGTGCTGCCATGTTTCGTATGGTGAGTTACGACAACTCTTTTTACTGGTAACGAGACCTACCATCTTATTCTTCAGAGTTGACAACGTTCGTGCATTTTAAAATAATTCTTAACCAATCAAAATGTATGTAGGTGTGTATGGTGTGTATATAATTACTCCATCAACTCGTTTTTTGGCAACTTTTGTACTGTTAGCCTAGAGGCTGTTATAGGTTTTATGCATAAAGTTACAGTAAATACCTAACAATTTCTTATTACTGTGTTATAAATGGATCGATTGAATGAAGTATTCCCAAAATGGCATACATATTATACAAAAATTCATAAGCCAGAAACTTTAAAGAGATAATTATACACATTTCCCAAACCGAGAAAATAATAAAAATTGTGAATCGCTAATGGTAAGTGAAACCATTCACTTTAAATTTATTTATTCTGGGTATACATTAGTATACTACACTTTCTTGTTTATTTAGTGGTCGTTAGCAAGAATGTTGACAATGAAATCTCAATCGCGGGTCAAGAAAGTTTCAGTAGTAGACCGCAGTTAGGAAGTTATTATTGTTTCACCACCGTGCCTCGGGAAGCACGTAAAGGCGTTCGCCGTGCGTTTAGACTCTCTCATAAAGCTATGATTAAGAAGGAAATAAGATCACTCTGTCCTTGCACACACACTCGTGCATTATAATAATGTCCTGCGTAGATGGCTCGTATCCATAGAGAGTGACCAACGTAACCGAAATTCGGTCGGGATGACATTGTTATTATGCTGGACTAGTATGGAAGTTTATAGTTTCCATTTTAAAGTAGAAGTAAAGTTTTTCTTAAACTTATTTTCACTATTCACAAGGAGGAATTTGCAATATTTTTCACATACCGATACAAACTCTCTTTCCCATGCTAAAAGCAGCAAAAGCAGTGGGGCAAGAAGGTAAAGTCGCAGTATCTAGCCATCGTTCTGGTTTGAATTCTACAGCGTCATTTCCCCACATTGGATGACGGTGGATACCATAAATTAAGAAAAAACATGTCCGACCAGCTGTAAGTGTATAATTCTCTGAAAAAGAACATAGAATATAATGATTTCTTATATTTACGCGAACACTACACATTTTAAATAAAACTAATTTTACGGATTTCATCGTGTATATTAATCTACTTTTATATTCCCGACGTTTCGGGTGATTTCCAGCACCCGTGGTCACGGGGGACTGAGCTGTTTGACGTCCTGCTGTGAAAGTTAGCCCGGCTACCTTCAGTTTTTTAATATTCATTTTTGGTCCGATTTACGCAGAATGAGCTTACAGTATCTTGAAGTCTAGCAGTGGTATACTTGGGTTTGGATTTGATTTTATTAATTATGGGATCCCAAGCAGATGGCAGCACCCATCCATCTTCTCTATTGAAATTAGGATGTTTTTTAATTTCAATAGCTTCGCGAATCATCCTTGGGAGGAATCGGTGTTCTTTTGCGAGGATTTGTGGTCTATCAAATCTAATGTAATGGCGGGGACGATCTTGAACACGTTCACAAACTGCAGACTTCCCGATACGTCGTTGCTTCACGTCAGCTATATGTTCTTTAACGCGGGTTTTAATAGATCTTTTTGTTTGTCCTATGTACGAGAGACCACATTCACAATCCAGCCTGTACACTCCTGCATCTTGTAGTGGGATATGACACTTGACGGATGGTATGGGTATTTTTTCTGTACACAGTCCTAAGTTGTATCAGTCCGGAAAAATCGCTGGTGGTAATCGATTCCACAAGGAAGTTGTGCGAGGGAGAAAACTTCTTATAAATCGCACAGTGGTGGACCGCCAATCATCCAGGTGATATGGATGGTATCGTGAGTTTAGTCGCGATGTGCGATGGTGAAATTGAGCGGCTGAAATTAGACCGAACAATTCTCAGAGCACTCCCCGTGATAGATGCGATAAAATACGCAAAGAGATGCAACATTTCGCACGCACGTGCCAGTGAGTCAAGCCGATCGGAAAGAACATGGGTCGTCGACGATTCGAACCGCTCTGTGCCGGATGCGGTCAAGTGGAAGGAGCTGGCACTGGGCAGTCCCTGCCCAGAACTGGGAACAGAATTCCATATGAGGCCGAACCTGCGCCTTGTAAAGTTGCAATCGGAGTGCTGGCATGATATACTGTTCCGCACTGCTGAGCACGCCAAGCTTTTTAGAGGCCAATTTGGCCTTCCCTTCCAAGTGACCACGAAACTACACGTCACTTGATATGTTCACACCGAGGATTCCGACACTGGCTGAGGCAACAAGGGGAGTGCCATGAAACTGAGGAGAAACGACAAAGGGATCCTTTTTAGCGGTAAACGCGAAAACTTGTGTCTTCTGGGGATTGAACTGGACTATATTTTGTCGACCCCAGTCTGACACTTTGTTTAACAAAGTCTCGACTTCAGACACAAATTTGTTCCGGTACTCGGCGACGTTTTCCCGAGAAATATTGGCACGGCCGGTGTATAAAGCATCAACAGTGCTGTCGTCCGCATAGCAATGAATGTTACTGGTTTGCAACATATCATTGATATGCAGAAGAAACAGCGTTGATGATAGCACGCAGCCTTGTGGAACACCAGCGTTAATGGACTTGTAATCGGAGCATGCACCTTCTACTACGACCTTGATGCTCCGATCTGCAAGAAAACTGGTGATTCAATTGCACAATTTCTCGGGAAGCCCATAGGAAGGGAGCTTCGAAAGAAGCGCTTTGTGCCAAACCCGATCGAAGGCCTTCGCTATGTCCAAACTAACGGCCAAAAACTTCCACTTGGACTCCACTGCCTCCGCCCATCTATGAATTAGGTAACCAAAAAGATCACCAGCTGAGTGACCTAGACGGAAACCGTATTGGCGGTCACTAATCAGCTGGTGATCCTCAAGGTACCGCATAGCTGGCTGTTAATAATGGTTTCCATTACTTTGGAGAACAAGGAGGTGATAGTAATAGGCCTGTAATAGGACGGATCTGAGCGGTCGCCTTTTTTAGAAATCGGGTGCACCAAAGCTGTCTTTCATGAGTTTAGGACTACGCCTAGGGAGTAGGAGTACCAAAAACAACGCGTTAAAACCGGTGCCAACTCCGGAGCATACGTCTTCAGCACAATAGGTGGAACTCCATCAGGCCCACTTGACTTGTTGACGTCCAGGGAGTGGAGTGCTTTTCGCACCAAGCGCTGTGTAAAAAGCACTTCTCGCATGGAGCACTCACACCGCGGGATAGTCGGCGGTGTGTTCCCCCCGTGATCTAGAGTTGAGTTGGAAGCAAAAAGAGAGCCTAGCATATCGGCTTTCTCCTTTGCGTCATGGGCCAGTGATTCGTCCACCTTGTGCAGAGATGGCAGAAATGTCTGACAGAAGTTCCCTTGGATAGCCTTGGCGAGAGACCAGATTGCGCGTGTTCCCGAAGGGAGGCGAACTAGTTTCTCGCCAATTCTGCCGACGTGCTCTGACTTTGCCTTGGAAATGACTCTTTTGAAGGACGTGGAGACGGAATTATACCCCTTTTTAAGAGCGCTGGTGTTAACATCCCGGGACGTTGATGCGTCTGCCCATGCTTGGTAGCACTCCTGCTTATATCGTGATGCTATTTTACAGGTGCGACCAAACCATGGCTGGGATCTGCCTTCGATGGGCACCATAGAGGATGGAATAAAAAGTTCCATACCCTGAAGTTCCACATCAGCAATTGAATCGGCAATATTGCTGAGATCTTTTGGCGAGAAGCAAACCCGCCCCCAAGGGTAGGATGCAAAAAAAGACCTCTTCCCATCCCAATCGGCCGACCTATAAGTGCCAAACACGACGGCAAGCTGCACATCGCAACTGCGATGGGAGCGTGAGTGGTACCGTACTCCGGATCAGACTATGGTCGGAAAAGCCCAGAGGGGCATCAACGGAGACCTGGTATCCGTCCAGATGAGAGGTCAGCAGAAGTTCCAACAGGGAAGGTACATGATTCTCCACATCTGTTTGTTTGTTGTTTTAGACAATATGCCAAGACAAAAACATAGACAGATCTACCCACATGATCCGTTATACGGGAACCAAGCCATTCAGCGTGGTGGGCGTTAAAATCACCGAGTATCACAATCTCTGCGGATGGGACCTGTTGTAGCACGGTGTCTGCAGCCATTTGGACGTGGTCGATGAGTTGGTCTGTGTCGACATTACCGCTATGAGACATATAGAGACACCCGTAGACGCGAGGATGGTTATCACTGTCTACGCGCAGCCGTAAGATGGACAGGTCCATACCTGCAAGACTGCCGAGGCGTCGAAAACAGATGTCCTCTCTGACGTATACGCAAACTCCAGCCCGGGGCACAAAGGAGTGTTAAAATTTGTATCCCGGGTAGGAGAGATATGAAGTATCAGCCGGAGAGGACACCTGAGTCTCGGTTAAAAAGAGCAAGGCCGGCTTCGCCGTCTTTTGATGGTAATGGACTGTGTTGAGGTTGGATTGAAGTCCCCTGATGTTGCAAATATTCACGGATAGTGTGAAAGGGGTCGCCTTGGTCTTATTGCTCCGCTTGCGCCGAGTAGTATTAGTCGCCAATTTTGCCCCCCACCCATCTCCCTGCTCCCCAGAATACGCTGGGTAGCCTGAGCACCCACGCTCAGGAGTGGAGTAGTTTGGTCGTGGATGTTCACCGAGGGATTCTCCAGGGGTGCTGGTACCCTCCTAGGGTAGTCTTATGTTTTATTCCGCTACCATGTTGATGGGGGGGGGGGGGAGGAATGAGGCCTCCGACTACCTGCACTCACCAAGCGTAACACAGAGGAAAACCCCTACTTCACGCTGGTATTCTGTGAGGTCATGGTACCACCCCGGTTTAAGCCAGCCCATCCGTGCGACAGCAAAAGCTGCCGCGTGGATCTACCACTGTTGTAAATATTGATCTTACTATCTAGCCGTTAAATTAACCATGTTAATAAACCATGCATTAATTTTATGAAATATATTAAGATCATATTTAGATTACAAAAGATTTTATCTTACTCAGCTTCACATTTTTATCAAGTCTTCTCGCTGTCACTGGAACTATTGAATAAAAGCGCATGGATTCCTTCAAAACAGCTTCTAAATATATTAAGCGACATAAATCTTGTTTAGTGACGTCCCTGTCGTCCTCTCCGAAGACATTATGTAATCTAGAAAATAAAAGGCTATTTATATTAATATATAACACATTCGAGGGATACCCTCATTCCGTTAACTACTATATAGAAACAACATAAGATCTTATCTATGTGAATCCAAAAAGTTAAGTGATGCCCCGTTATAAAAGCAAGAATCCACTGAATGTAGGTGACTCAAGACCGTGTTTTTCGGTTAGTTCGATGTTTTTAAGTGTATCTAAACGATCTGAGTTATGAGTCTGATGAGTGATGCTACAACGATGATACAATAGAATTTAAGGTTTTTAATGTCACTACACAAAAGTCTTAGTGATTATCTAATAGTTACTGAATTACTAGAACAAATAGGTAATGCTATTGTGTGTAAGATTATTAGGCGAAATAAATTATTTAAATTGAACTGCCACTCCACTTACTTACATAAAAACTCAGTACTTAACATAATTGTCACTAAAATAATAAAACTACAAAAGAAAACCACAGCACAGACATCTTCAATAACTTTACCAAGCAGTTTCATAATTATAAATTTATTAATAAATAAGGATAGCAGTGAGTTTAATATTAATTATCAAAATAAAGCCATCCGGCCTATCGGATGGATTTATTTTGTGCTTAACGTTTATTGTTGCTTTTTTTTGGAAGTGAAAAATTTCATAACATTGTTGTGATTTTAAACACAATGAAAAGAAAACGTGACACTAAAAGGAGATAAATAAATATCTATAGGAGAGAATGAGATAGAATCTATACTAATATAATAAAGTGGAAGAGGTTTTTTGTTTGATTAAAAACTCTAATCTCTGAAAAGACCAGTTTGATTTGATAAATTATTTTTGTATATGATAGCCAGATACACGAGAAAGAGTATAATATGCTATCTAGCATTCGTCTTCACCTCTCAGCTAATCTTAAACATTGATTTTTGTTAATTCGGAAGAAAAAGCGCATCCAAACTGCTGTACCCGCTCGCGCGCTAAGGTTACTGCTGAGTAAATACTATCCAACACAAAAATAAATATCTTTTCTCGTTTAAAAAAGTCCGCAATGCCGTAGGCCTATTTATTATACACAAGTCATCATATAGGTATATTGTGACAAAAAAAATGTTGAAAATTAAAAAGTGGTTTGCTTTGTCGTTGCGAACGGAAGTTACTTAATCATCAAGAAAATTTTATGAAAATAAACTTTGCTCTTTACAGCGTGTTATTTGGACGCATAGTTTGAGATAGGTAATGAAAAATTAAAACAATTCGACACTCCGCTGGCGCGCCAACGACGTCTAGCCACCCGGTGAGAACTATTCTTTTGATTTAATCTATGATTTAGGCTTTACATGTCTAAAATTAAGGATTGTAATATTTATTTTCAAACTTTTATCTTATCCGCACTTGTGGTTGAAAACTATCAAATAACATAAATCATTTGCTGTGAAATGTTTTTGTTTTATACTTTATTTCTATTGAAGGTTTCACTTCTACCGAGTGTGAACTGCAAACATGTTTTATTTTGTGTTTTTTCCCCCTAACATGCATTTTTTTGCCTTTTTATATTACATTCGTTTAAATATAATACACACTTTTGCCTTTTTATCTATTATTAATTGTCTTATCCTTTTTTTATAAAATCACTCATAATCGTGTGTTTTCATGTAAAACTTTCGAGAGTACATAATATGCAAATGTTATTGAACGCCTGTTATTGGAGTGTTCATATTATGATCGTAGGTTATTATGCATGTTATGCTGAATTTAAAATGTATTGTAGGCATGCTGTTAGTGTGACTTTCATCATCGTCGCAATCGTAATCATCATCATTACAACCCTTCAAAATTCGCCTTCCTAACATATAGGCTTCCCCTAAGAAATTCTTCTTTCCGAAGTGTATCACTAGAATATACCGACCGCCTTCAGTTGTTAGGATTTGAGATATCCTCAAATCTGAACTTCGGGCGGTTCATTGAGTCCAAAGCCAAAGCAGCTGCAAGGAAGCTGGGAGACCTTGCAAAGTTACGGCGATACTTCACGCAGGGACAGCTGCTTACTTTATATAAAGCGCAAGTCCGGTCGTGCATGGAGTATTGCTGCTATATATGGGCTGGTGCTGCAAAATGCCACCTAGCAGCTCTAAACTCAAAGTCAAGGCGTGGTAAGAGGCTTACTGGTGACCCGAATTTGGTTAAAACCAATCTTATCAGCCTCGAACATAGACGCAAAGTAGCCAGCCTTTCGGTTTTCGACAGGATGCATTTCGTAGAGTGTGCGCAGGAATTTCATAATTCAATTCCTCCCTCCCCCTTCCACCATCGGACAACCACACGTTCAGCCAGTGTCCTGCTTCTCGTTGTTGACTTACCACGCATTCGAACCAAACGGTTCGCTACGTCGTTCATCATGCGTACAGCAAAGGAGTGGAATAAGTTGCCAGCATCTGACTTTCCATTCGATTACAGTGTGGGTGTCTTCAAGGCAAGAGTGAATAGGCTTTTGTTAAGTCAGTGCGCTTCACCATCTTAGGCTACATAACCACTTACCATCAGGTGGGATCGTAGATAAGCGCTGGATTAGTTGAATATATAAAATAAAATAAAAAGAAATTGTCTTAGATATTTTCTTAGGTTTGTTTTCCATTAAAGATCTAAGGAACAAATACAATTAACAAATATAAACAAGTACTTACTCTTCAAATATTAGCTCTTGTACTTTTGGATAGGATCCTATTAAAACTAATGTAAACATAAGTACGGTCGCCGTGGTATCAAATCCGGCAGCAATCATTGTATCTACTTCCTCTCTTATTTCTAAATCATTAAGAGCTCCCGCTTCGATCGATAATTCCAAAAGAAGATCTAAGAATGCCTTAAATTTGGTACCTTAAAATACAAAATTATTAATTTTTTTTTATTATTTTGGATTTTTGCTTGAGTATTTATTAAAAATATATGTACTGAAATTTTCATTCTAAATAAATTCTCAGGAAAGGTAATTATTTTTATTTAGATATATGCTCTGTGTACTGCACTTTATGTTTTAAGTATTTTACATTATTTAGGTTAAAATTAAATCTGTTCGTAGACCACAAGAGTATTTTAAAATAAAAAAATTGTTAAGTCATGTTGCAATATCCATAATTTGTTTTAGGGCTATTACAAACTGACTCTCAGAAAGCATTTGCGACTTCCGACCACCGTGCCAGACCGGATTTCTAAAGGGCTATGGCACCATAGTTCACTTCCATATAATAAGGCGAGAGGAAAAATGAATATAGTGAGCATCTATACTTTGTAGTGTACTGTGTGGTGGTGTTGTAAGGATATCCACTGCCCCATAACCTTCTGTGGATATCGTAAAAGGTGACAGAGGGAAACAAACAAGGAGATGGCAGCATGATCATCCTAAAAAATAAATACAGAATAAAAACTCTAGTTGCCAAGCCCGCCTGCCAGTGTTAATTTAAATGTACATTGGATGCGTAATCCCAAATATTTTTCCAGTTTCAACAAACCACATTCATTTTACTAACTCAATCTCAAACATTTGTACACATGTACACAAACATGTGGTTAATTTAAATTAATATATTAGAAAAATGGATTACATATTTTATTTAATAAAACTAAATATAACCTTTAGATTCAATAAACGTTTGCAATAATAGTTAATACAATGATAATAAAAACGTATATATAGGAAAACTCTGACAACAAATTTTAATCAATGTATACTATATTATATATATCCAAGGAAAAAAACAACACAAACAAATCAAATTAAAACATAAATACTTCTAATTAATATAATAAATAAATTAAAGGAAAAAAAATGTTATACAAAATTATACGGTATGTATAGTTTAATTTAAGTAAAAAATACTAGCTAAATCGCCGCCGTCTGTTCGTAGTGTGCCCAAAAGACTAGCTGAGTTGCCTCGCTGTATTGCGAGGCTGATCCGCTGACCAAAATATCTGCCAGCCTTTGGGTCACCAGAGACATCGACAAGGCGTGATGAGATATCTCTGTACAAACGCCTTGCTTCAGGACCCCACGGCCCTAGTGTTTCTACACCAAACGGCACAAACATGTATCCCTCTCCGAGGGCTGCATATTTGCGCCGCTTGTTAGACTCGGCAACAGCAGCAGCCGTGCCTGCCTTCTGTGCAGTCGCCGCGAGATGTTATTGCGCTAATGTGTCAACACAAGTCGCATCCCATAATGAGCGCCCATTCTTCCATGGAATAAGCGTCATTCCATCAGGCCTCTTGCCATCGTCCCGCAATATACCGCCTGGCTCTAAAATTGCAGGTACGTTGGCACTGGTTAAGGCCCGTCGAATGACGTCATTAATGGCTGCATGGCGAGGGATGCGACCGGCGCTTCGCTGGAATGCGAGGCCGTGGTGTCCGAGAATGTCGACCTCTTTACCACAGCGGCAGCGATGGAGCTCATTGGTTTTTAAACCAAATCTCAGGCTGATAGAAAGAGAGAAAGTAGTCCTACCCAAGAGTGTTCCGATATTTGACGAGGGCAGTGCATTTAACCAGTAGCCAGACTCCTTCTCCTCAGATGCTAGGAGACGATCTCGCTCTGTAGGGATTCCGAAATTTTCTAAAAGATTTTTTTTAACCTGGATACTAAGTGGCTCATCCCACAGCCTCTGCGAAGTTGAGTTTGTCGGAAAATCCTGGTCCGGCCCTGTCTTATTGCTCCAGGCTTCCTTGGCCTCAGCCAAGCAGGAGACCTCTACATCACCGAGTGATGGGTTAATAATTGTTCCAATGAGGTCTGACCAGCTATGAACTGAAGACAAGAAAGCTGGAAGTGCTACGCTGGAAACTCTTCGGATGCCTAGACCATCAATTCTAACGGGAAGTGTGGCCTGAACCCAGGAATTTTGATTTAATGGACAATTTAGAATTTCAATTATAGTTTTTCTAATCATATCATCGAGACGATTTAAAAATGGGACATGCATCCAAAGAGTTGAACACCGCAGCCCGTACGTAAAATTTGGCACAGAAAGACAAAATTTTAGTATGGCATATGCCATGTGTGGGCTAATTTCTTTCAGACGACTGGATGACTCCTCAAATTATAAAATCTTTTCACTGACAAAACATTGAGAGGACTCATCCAGAACAGGAGCACCTAGAAGGCGAAGCGATTTGCTGTTAATTATCTTTATATTTGGGGCTAAGGAGTTAAATTTGTTAACAATTTGATCTTTTTCGGACGATGGTAAATTCTCACTAATAAAAAGTTCGCACTTTGAAAAATTCAATTTACGGCCAATAGAACTGAAAGAAGAAATAAGACTGGTTAAATCATCAAGCACTGAGTTCACTTCGCCTCCTAGTGTCCCATCATCTAAATACCAGACATTGAATATTGACTTTTGGGGGTCATTGTAGAAGCGTGCTAGTCGCGACCCCTGCCCGCCCTTTTCAGGGCTGCAATTCTACTCAGCTGCGCACCCATGCCAACGAGGGTTAGGGCGTCTCCCCAAGGCGACGCACACCAGCTCGTCCCCGTTGGTGTGGAATGCAGCGCGCAAAGCGGCGATGGGGACCGCCACCCGTCACGCACAGCCCGACACGGCGGAAGGTGGAGGACAGAGTGCAGAGTTGGCACGTGGACTGTTAGAGGAGGCATGAGAGATAAGACGAATGAGTTGATCGAAATAATGAAAGAAAGAGAATTAGATGTCGTGTGTATGTCGGAGACCAAACGGAAGGGCAGTGGTACTGAAGAGCTCCCTGGCGGGGCGTTAGCTCTACGGTCCGGAGTCCCGGAGAGCGAGAACGCCTGCCAGGGAGTGGGGGTGCTGCTGTCTTCTCGGTTGGTCGATGTTATGACTGAATATAAGGTTGTGAACTCAAGACTTCTCTGGGTTCGCTTTAAATTGGGACTGACGAAGTTATTCCTTTTGGCTGTTTATGCGCCGGTAGCTTCGTCGTCCAGGGCTGAGCTGGAGGAGTTTTGGGAGAATGTAAGAGAAGTTCTAGATTTGGCTAGGGGAAACGAAAAAATTGTTGTATGTGGTGATTTGAATGGATGGGTTGGTACCGCTCGACCAGGGTACTAGTCGGTAATTGGAAAGTTTGGCGATAAAAGGGTTAATGATGCTGGCAAGCTTATATTGGCGGTGTGCAAGGAAAAGGGGTCTTCTTGTGACAAACACTATGTTTAATCACAAGAAAATCCATATGTATACTAGAGAACGAAAGAATGAGAGAAGTATGATCAATTTGTTCCTGGTGGATGACCGACAGCGAAAACAGGTGATGGATACGCGAGTGTTCAGGGGTGCTGACCTGGGAACGGATCACTATCTAGTGATTACTAGATTTAGGGGTCTGTTCGCGGGTTGGCGCTACCGGACGGCAGTAACAGAAACACAGTGAAGCTGGAAGCTTCAGGAAGCGGATACTAGGGACAAATATCATGCGAAGGTAGCCGAAAAGCTTGACACCATCGATGGCAGAAAAGAATGTGTAGAAAGAACATGGCAGAACCTTAGGAATGGAATGGTAAGTGCAGCGGAAGAAGTGTGTGGAACGATAAAAAGATGTAGTAGTAAAAGAAGAGATGCATGGTGGAATGATGAAATGAAAGAAGCTGTAAAGATGAAGAAGAAAGCATGGTTAGACTACTTGGCCTCTAGTTATGATAAGGATATGAGAGAGAAGATGAAAGAAAGATATAAGCTGCAGAAATTTCACACGAAAGCATTGATTGAGGAAGTGCGTGAAAGGTGTAGAATGGAAGCGGACGAAAGGTTGTCGCACAACTTTAAGGAGAACTCCAAACTCTTCTGGAAAGAGGTTGAAAGGACCCGAAGTGGTGCGACGGCCTTAAGAATGAACAAAGTGCTTTCGAGAACTAATGACGTCCTCTCAGAAAAATCGGACGTCATGCAGCGATGGAGCGAATTTTATAGAGAAATGTATGCGTGTGTTGATCTTAGTGAGGGATCCGGGGATGACGCCGTGACTGGTACGCCAGACCCGGGCCTCGATGACACTGAGGTCATCAGTATGAAAGAGATTGAACGTGCGATTCGAAGTTTGAAATGTGGTAAGGCTGCGGGACTAGACAGAGTTACTGCTGAAATGGTCAATTATGGTGGGCCTCGCGTCTGGGACAGCTTCCATCTGCTGTGCAATTTGTGCTGGCGGACGGGGGATGTCCTGGATGATTGGCGATCCGCGGTCATTATGCCTTTATATAAAGGTAAAGGTTCACATTTTGACTGCGGGTGCTATCGGGCGATCAGCTTGACCAGTTTAGCAAGTAAAGTTTACTCGAAGGTTTTGGCACGTAGGATGCAAGAGAAATCGGAAAGATTTCTATGGGAGGCACAATGCGGATTTAGACCTGGAAGAGGATGCACGGATCAAATTTTTTCTCTCCGCATGATCACGGAAAAGCTTCTGGCTGCTAACCAGAAGATTTTCTGTGCTTTTGTGGATCTTGAGAAAGCATTTGATAAGGTTGTAAGGAAGAAAATGTGGGAACTGTTGCCGGGGTATGGTGTGGATGGTCGATTGCTAAGGGCTGTGCAGTCTCTTTACTGTGACTGTAAAGCCTGTGTGCGGGTAGGGCATGACCTGTCACCCATGTTTAACGTCCAAACGGGCGTAAAGCAGGGTTGTGTCATGTCTTCCTGGCTGTTCATACTGTATCTCGACAGCTGTTTACAGAAGCTGAAAGATAGCTGTTTGGGTGTAAAATTGGGTGACATAAAAGTAATTTGTCTGCTGTATGCTGATGATGCAGTGCTTATTGCACCATCAGAGGCAGAACTGCAGGCATTAGTCACGTGTATGAAAGAGGAATGTGAAATTAAAGGTCTCCGTTTGAATGCTAATAAAAC